ACGACTTGACCAATTAGAACGTGTTAATCAATAGGCGTAGGTCAGAGAACACGCACGTCTCACTAATCTGTATTCGAGAATAGAGATGCACAATGTCATTTTGTGAAACGTCAACAATAATGTTAGAAGGGTGGGGCTTGGCGGAAATGTCCATTACAATGATTACATTAACTCGCATGAAAGCTATGCCCATGTAGACCCACTTGTAAAATTAATATCGATCCAAAAAGAACATTAGGATATAGGACTATAATTGAGGTAAAAAATGGAACAGCAAGAAAACATTTTATCTGCAGTCCATTTTTTGCCAATTAGTTGGACAATAATATTATGTACATTAGTCAAAGAAAACTAAACATCAAATAAATAAACATTTTATATCATTCTACAGTACTTTTACTTTTTAACATTAAAATTAAAACATGTATTTATACAAATTAAATACCTTATGTGCTACATCAGTACCAATATAATATTGTTATTATTATTATATATATATTCATCAATATTTTACAAGGGTAGTCCTGACTTAGGAGGCTCTCGAACATAATTGCAACACGTAATATAAAAAAGTAAATACTGTATACTTACTGAAGTGGACGGACTGTTTATTTTTACTTATACTGCGGAAACTGCACAGTAGTCAAATATCCTAGTTATTGAAGTTGTACTCTCAAGAAGAAAATTAATTAGGCCCTGGCAGGATTTGAACCCAGGACCGTAGGATTTGGGAAGTAAGCATTTTATCCAACAAGCGACAGCTCCACTCTAGTTAAAGTCAGGCTCCGGAGGAAAACATTTTTTAATATGTTGTAGAACTGATTTTTTTAAGACAGAAAAAAAATTGTTTGACGAAAAACTGGGGAACGGTGAATGAGATACAGATTTTTTAATATTTAAAAACTGGGGGAATAAGGTGTAAAAATGGGCAGTTACGCCCTTTTTTCCCCCAGTTTTTAAATATTAAAAAATCTGTATCTCATTCACCGTTCCCCAGTTTTTCGTCAAACAACTTTTTCCTGTCTTAGAAAAATCAGTTCTACAACATATCAAAATTTTTTTTCCCTCCGGAGCCTGACTTTAAAATCAACAAGATGCTTAGTATACCCACTGGGCATGAATATGTCAAAAGTCAAATCACATAAACGAACATTCATATGCACTATCATTTGTATAATTACAAATCATTAGTATTCGATACTCGGTATATAGTACCCAAATACTACAACAGTTCTTTAATAACTCTAGATAGGTTGTACATCATTTTTTTGCGAAACTTGACTTTTGACAAATGCAGTTGAAACTACGAAATAGGTCATTCGTCGAACCATTATAATTTTAATTTATCCCTTAATATTCAGTTAAAATCTGATAAAAGACATCATTATATCTGTACAGTAGGCCTATATACTGTAGATGAATAATTAAAAATATTCAACAGCCTTCATTCAAATTTTTTTGAGTTTGCCTGATATGATAATATCTTATAATTAAATATAAATAATTTAATGGTATCAGATTGGTTTACACAATATGAAAATCTTTAAACATTCATCAATTAAAACATTGTATTTGTTCATTTAAAAGGGTCAAGTTATCAACTACCATTGAGACACAGAAAACAAAAAAATTTGAAGATTTTTACTACTAAAATCCTTAAATATACTGCTAGCCAATGTAAGTCTATAAATATAGGAATGTATCATTTATGTTACTATTGGTAACATTAATATTTTTTTTATATTTTTTACAATTTTCAATTAACAGCTACTAGCATTAATTTATTGAAATATTCCACAAAGCAATTAAAATAGTTAAGTTTATTGTTTATGCTCTACACAGAGAGAATACATTATCAAGATTTATGTGACAATTACATGTAAAATTGCCCATATATGGGTATGACATCACATCACAACCATATATGGTATGCATTGCTATAACATCATGACCATTTATGGGAATATGACATCTTAATGACCATATATGGTATATGGCATCACGATACCATATATCAGTAAATAATGCTATTACAGTATTCATTAAAAGTACTATTCAGAATGTTCTCTTGTGTAATTTCAGCATCTGGTTCAACAACATGTCTTCCTCCAATAATATAGGAATTGAACGACTAATTGCGCAAAGGATCTAATTGGTAAAGAGGTAACAGAAGAACACAGCACATGAAGCCTACATAAATATACTTGACATAATTTCAGATCTCACCATTAGCAATGTGTTTGTCATACCTCGGGCAGATACACGGTAGTTAAGTAATTTGAATGGTTCCAGTCAGTCTTTTCAATTTGAATCTCAAAATTTAGCGTATGTTTGGTATCTTACACGATCAGAACATAAAACCAATTATATGTACCCATTATACATTTTATGATCAAACAACCTGTATACATTTGCTTAAAGTCATTATTTATTTTAATGTTGTGTTGGTTTAAGTCCGCATTTGTTTAGCTTGCAGAAGAAAAAATTGCAATTCATATTGTTGTTATGCTTCTGACATTTAAAACATGTTGAATCTTGAATTGTTCAAATATCAAAATGTGGAGACATAAATATTTGTTGTAAAATAAGGTAAATACATTTTCTTTATGAAAAAAAAATCCAGTATTTTGAATTGTTCTAATAATCAAATATATTTGGTTTAAAAAAAAAAATTAAAATGATATAAACTAAAGCTCTGTAAATGCTATCAAATTTTCTTTGAAAAAAAACCCCCAAAAAACCTGTTGTATGCCCATATATATAGTCATGATGTGCCTATATTATATCATCATGATGTGATGTCATCATGTCCATATTTAGACATGTCACATGTTCTTGTTAAATAAAATTTGATAGTTTAGACAGGGATTGAGACAAATTTGGTTGCATGAATCTGATTGGTCCAAATAGACACTGCTTTTTCATGGTCAGGTAAATTATAACAGTGAAGTAGAATAAAGTGTTACTTGTCAGAGTGAGAAAATAAGTCCTGTTGTATACCAGGTCAATATGATATACTGTATTCATGAAAATATGTATGAAATGATATTGTGACAAAAACAGTGTTTCAATGTTTTTCGGATATGTTTAATACGTATAATTACTTCATGATACCACATGTTCCGAGCTGATTTACATAAGTTAGAAAGTGTTTTTGAGGCACATTTTGTAAAGCTGTTTTTCAGAATTTATAAGACTCGATTTTCTCTCAAGCATGTTTTCAGATTTTCAGAATTTTAAAGTCATCCTAAAATACAAATTCAAAAAGCTTATGGTGTAATATATCTGAAAATATCACTAACTCATTTTCCATGTTTGGTACCACAAGACTCATTTTGTGACTAAAAAACACACCACAATGATTTAGATTATTATACTCTATATCATGGTGGCTATTGATCTTGGATTTCATATAGAACTTCTCAACAATATCCAGAAAGTTCATTTGGTAGGATAAAACATAGGTTAATATTTCCACATATATTAATATATTTAAAAATACAATTTCTCATATAATTTCATGATATATTGCCAGCAATTGCCGTTTTAAAAACATAAACATCAATTGAAGGGAGAACACGTTTGAATTACTAAAAATAGACTTGTTAAAACACACTTTCAAAACTACATTTAATGGGTATTTGATCTTCAGTGTACTTCAACCCTGAGGTTCGAAATTATTGAATCTGACAAGTTCTTGTAAAAAGGTCATTTATAATGCTGACTCCTAGACATGTATAATATACAATTAAAATTCACCCATTGAAGTAGTTCCATATTGTTATTATAAAACACTGTCAACAGTATCTATCAAATATGCACCCATATATGGGTGATACAACATCACTATGCCCATACCGTATATAGAAAACTCAGTTATTTTAACAGGTAGACAGAACTTAAGGTCGTTTTCCACTAGACAAATGTATTTGTGCGCAGTATAATTTAAATCACAAGATTCTCAATTGTGCATGTGTATAGGTAAAAAATTTTGATTCGCGTGAATAAATTCGCCTAGTGGGAAACTGCCCTTAAGGTAGAGTAAAGTACTAGATTTAAGCAATTCGCTAAAAGGAGAATTGAGTATTTTGGTATTACAAATACTTCAGCGAGAATGCCAGGCTTGTTTGATGTGTATTTTCGTATATTTCTATTAATACAAGAATAATAGTTTCATGTATATGGAACATCCATTTTAAAGGTGATTACACTTTCATAACGCTTCTTGATTTTTACTGGAAAGAAAGCATCAAGGTTCAATATCCTTTAACCATTGTATAATCCAAAAATAATGTTATTATTCTTTTCTTGGTGGTGTTATGCTTGCCACAATAACAACATTACTGTTGAATAAATTTTTGAAATAATTATTTAAACCAAACAGAAATACATGAGGAAGATAAAAGGAGAAAGTTTTTAAGAGGCCATAAACTGTCAAGAAGTAATGGTTTCATCATCTATAGGACAAGATAAAGTATCATGCAGTGTGGGTGGGATATAAAAAATCCAATTACAAATAAAAAAAATCTTGATACTCAAAACAAATTATACTAGCAGTTTTAAATAATTTCAAGTAAAGAATGAAATAGCATGATTTTCATTATAATTTGCAGTCACTCTCGGGTGTTTTTTTTAAATATTTTAGAAAAAGGGAAAACATTATTATACGTTTAGTCTTACAATCTATGGTATAAGGTAAGGAATTCTAAGGACATTATAGTGTATTTGGGTAGTGGATCACCTGTTTGGTACAGTATGAGTAGTCTCATTGGTAATTAATCAATCTTCAATCAAATTATTGAATAATTGAATCTATAAATCAATTGATCAATAGATCAATCAATAGAATTATTGAATTTGAATCAAACTATCAATAATTTAATCAATCATTTTAATAATCAATCAACCACTCAAGCAATCAATTAATTAATAATGAATAATTAATCAATCATTAAAAATTATTGAATAATTGAATCAATCTATCAATAAATGAATCAATCAATTACTCATGCAATCAATTAATCAACTAATAAATCACTTGATTAATAAATCAATCAATAAAAATTATTGAATAATTGAATCATCCTATCAATAATTTAATCAATAAATCAATGAATTGACCACTCACACTTGCCTGTCAAAACAAGCATTACAGACATAATGGTGTTGAAACAAAGAATATCCAATGACATACCCTACACACTATATTGGATTCCCAACTACCAGTGATACTGAGCCTAGCAATATTGAGTGTGTATATTATAATGGAGGAATAATTACGCCTACTAAGAGGTTACGAAGGTCACATGAACTCTATCCATTTTCCCTTTGATTTACACTCAACAATTGCCATTACGTACATTACTGTTGCACGTTAAGCTTGTAAGCATTTCTTATTATCTTATGTCAGCTTTCAAAGAATCTCGCACATCTTCAGAATTCAGTATAACATTGATTATTATTTATAACTCTAATTAAATTAAACATTAATTAGAATATCTCCCAAAGTAAAAAATTGTAACAACCATTTGTAATAAAAAGTTTGTCTGTAATTATTATCTCATAGAAGATGACATGTTCTAGATGGCTTATTTCTTTGCTTTTGTTTCTCGTCTTTTTTGCCTGATGATGGATTAGAATTATTAACGACAACTGTGCTAATTGGAGGCTCGATGTATTTTCGTTGTAACCTGTGCAACACGATCCGATACGTTCCTGTTATACTATTCCGTGACTCATGATCACGCGTCCCTTTCAGCAAATCCTCCTGTATACCGAGTTCTTCAAGTTCTTTTAAGACTTTCAGTTCATCCATTGTTGCATTTTCCTTTTCAAATGCAGGCACCGTATGATATGCGTCTATAGACTTTGGGAACTCTTGCCCCTTAAGCCATGGGTGTGTCATCATCTCACGTATCGTTAGTCGTTCAGAAGGTTCTGATTTTAAGATGCCGCTGATCAATGATTGACAATCTTTCGAGACGAACGGCGGTATTGTAAAATTACCGTCCAGTATACATTTTTTAAGCTTTGCAACAGTGTCAGCTCGAAACGGCATCACGCCAACCACCATAAAATATAGCATTATTCCCATTGCCCATATATCGACTGTTACGCCGATGTAGTGTTCGTCCTTGAAGAGTTCCGGTGCTGCGTAAGGCGGTGAACCACAAAATGTGTTTAATGTCTCATTCTCCTTACTAACGGTACTAAAACCAAAGTCTCCAACTTTTGCCAAGCCATTAGCCGCATAAAATACATTTTCAGCCTTTAGGTCTCGATGGATTATATTTTTGGAGTGCTACAATAATAAAAAGAAAAAAATATACTTTAACACTAGATACTTGAAAAATGAAATCAAATTGAGAATCAAATTTAATTATTCTTATTGAAATTTTCATTCAAAAACATTTGTTAAAAAAGGAATTAAGATCTCACAAAAAAATGACAGAAAGTGTACAGTAATTGAAAATCTTAAGAGGTTCATTAACAGCTACGGTTCTGGTGGAGCTGTAGCTTTGTGGTTATCCAGAATTCTAAGTTCGAATCCTGTTGGATAAGTATTAATAAAATATTTAAAAAAAATGCATTTTAGAATAATTCTTATCTTTTTTTCTTTAGCCAGCCACTCAACCAATTTAAATAAGTGATGCTCCAATAACTAAAACACATAAAGAGGCGCATCAAGGGATCTACACTAGGAATGTTGGCGTAAGTTACAATTCCCAGTTCAATGAGAAAAACAACAGTAATTCAGATAATATACAAGAGAAATTAACATACAGCTGATTACAAAATTAAAAGATTGGATAAAAATTACTGTTTTGTACAATCAAATTTATATAATTATGTATAAATAAAATGAAAGGATGGCATTTTAGGAGTCATCAATGCTTTCAACATTTTAAAGGGAGTACAAAATATACCATTCCCTGGACCCCAAAATAGTACATAATACATTGATCCCTTCCTTTGCCAAAAGAGTACATATACTATATTGTTGTCATTTCTTGAGAACATAATTTTTAATATAGAGATATACTGTTAATCCCCCTTTCCCTAGCATATTTTTTGCGCTCTCATGATTAAAATAATGTGTGATCCTTCATGGTATGCTCAAGCCTCATCCAACAGCGGACAGGCATCCTCTGAGCAGTCTCCTGGCGACATCCGGCCAGGCGATTGTGGGAGTACGCTGAAACACAAAAGGTAGGGTGGGAAACTAACAATAACATTTTAAAATGATGAAAAGATTACACTTATAGTAACATTCACTTAACACACTTAAGCTTTCATCTGCCCAGCATGGACCTCTTTAACAGACTCTTTATGTGTCTCTATAGCATGACAGTTAGAGTGTATTAAATGGATGTCAGCAAAGTGCTGTTATTGTCATCATACACTTCTGTAATTTAGACATGCGCACTACAATTATATACTTTTAATGGAGTATTTGTTTTTTGAAACATCTTTAACTTTATAGCTTCAAGAGATCGCAGAAACTGTACACACTTCCTATGTCAGACAACAAGTGTAGATAATGCATGATGCAGTGTCTTCTACCCCTTTTACACTGCAAGCAAAATTCAGGACATATCCTGGGATTTTCCAATATCCAGGTTAAAACCTTCCGAATTGTCGTTAGTGTAAACGTAAAAAAATCCGACTCAGGTTGCCAAACATTCCGGGATGGACATGCAGGATGCATTCAGCATAGGACGACCCGGGTTCATTCCGGAGTTGCAAGTGTAAACAGCACCGAATTTGATTCCGGATTTAGGCCTTACCTGGCGCCTACCGCGGCTGTGGTCAGGTAGGCCTAAACTTTGCTAACAACGGGCTAGGCCTAGACACTTTTCAAATTAAACCCTCTACGCTCCGGTATAGACTTGATATCAAAACTGCTGATTTAATTAGCCTAATTTAAAAACAATCTGCAGGTACCTGTACATTGCTTCAATATTGACAATAATTGTGGCTTTGTGACGACGAGGAACTCGAGCGAAGTGATGATCACCATCGCAACAAAAATTGAGGGCGGTATTTGAACCAGAGTTCGTTGCCGGTGCAAAATTGGAGCAACACGGGGTCAACCCGGACTTTTTTGTTCGATGTAAATGGGAAATGCACCCGGGATCACCCCGGAATTAACACAGGTTTATTCGGCCATTGGCAGTATAAAAGGGGTATTAAATAGACGGATGGATAGAAATCTTTCTTAATCAATTTGACATTGTTCTTCCTTAATGTCAGGTTCATAGCTATGATATTATTATGTGTTAGAAATGCATAAATTTGATTATAAACAAATCTTTCAATAATATTTTTATAAAATTAGTTGGATGGAAATTGGCCTATAATTTTCAATTTTTATTAATCTCTATCTTTAAAAAAAGTGTTACTTTGGCCACTTTCCAGTTTGAGGGATATATTGCTGTGGTCAAATATAAATTTATAATATGAGCAATAGTAGAGCAAAAAACTGGGGAAGCAAGTTCGAGTAGCTTTAAGTCAAGTTCATTAACACCAGAAGCTTTGTTATTTGAAAAGATGTTGATATGATCAAAACATCTTCTGGTGATATCAAATCAAAGGAGAATTTACAGTTAAAATTATTGTTTTTAGTATTGTTAGGATTGTCAAAAATGTTATTAATATTAACCTGGCTAAAGACTCTCCAATAGAAGAAAAATAATGGTTAAACCTATTTGCAATTTCTAATTTATCAGAAATAACACTACTCCTTGTTTAAATGGAATTGATTGATGGTTTTTTTTATCATCATTTGTAATGGATTTTATTGTTTTCCAAATCATTTTGGGATTTTGACATTTTTGCTAATAGTTTTAAAAAAAAAACTTGTTTTTTAGATGATGATTCTTAGTCCAATCCGCAGGATCATTTGTTTTATCAGCTTTAGAAAAGAAGTAGTCTCTATCTTTAGTTAATTGAAGGTCTTCTGATTCAATTTGGGCATAGACTCCTTTATACGTTTAATTTTTTATAAGGGGCATAGAGTACCACCATCGTGTCGTCACAACGCCAGGTGGCACCCTCTGTCGCCAACCAGGCGTTAGTTACCGTTCATTACGCCTGAATGACTTCATAGGCTTTCTGGTATAGGCATTTTAAAATCTAATATTTTACCATCAAAATGTACTAAAAACACAAAAGCTTACATTATTATATTAGTTATTGAACACACATTTAATCATCAATTAAAATTTACAAAGAAAAACTAAGATACAACATCTTAATAATTACGTTAGAAATTGGGATCAATGGTTTGTCAGTGGAGAAAATGGCGTCCGGTTGAAGTCATTTTGCAACGATAGCAACAGAGTAGTATCACGTGGTATCGTGACGTAACACTGTAGTACTCTATAAGTGTTACATGAATTATTAAAAAGATTTGTCCAGATTTCTAAAGCTCTGTCAGTATTAGTGGTTTGTTATACTAAATTCCAATTTACACTTTTAACTGTTTCTGTGAATTTATGACTGTCAAAACTTAACCTTAACCTAAAATATCTAATCTTTATAGTTTTTGGTTCACTTTTATTGTTTTGGTTTTTCTGTACAGTATAAATTAATGAATGGTCACTTATCTTCATCCTAATAGAATGCATCAAATTACATGGTGAATACTGATAAAAGCTCACTAAAGAAATATTAAAAGAAGTATACTGTATAAAATTGCATATGATTACTTGAAAACAGATGATGTACTGTATAAATTTAACCTTATCCAAATTTTGTATGAGAAACAGTATTTTTCACATAGAAGAGTAAATTGGCTACAAAGACAGTATCCTACTTCCTGTTTTATTTCATTCATCAAAAAATAAAGTAAATCAATACAAAACAAGTTTTAAGTTAACTAATCTCATTTCAAAATTCAATATGAAGATTTTCTAGATCTTAACACAGGCAGATAATGCACATTATGTACAACATACTATTTTTTTACTATTAAGCACATAGAGGCTTTATGCATTATGCACTCTATAAATCCATATTTATTATATTATTTTTACAACATTATGATATTAATAGCAAAATATTAGTTGCCTTTCATATCATGTGCCTTGATTAAAACATGGGTCAGATAATAAGCTCAAAGCTATTATTATTCATTATTATTACGAAAAATGATAAAATTATACTATTTCCTTAGAGATAATTCATTAAATATTCCCAGGGTTGGTGTTATTAGTGCCTTCATCTGGTTTATATTGCTCATACTGGAGCAGGAGGTCAAAGGTAATGAAAGGATGATACCAAAATCAATATTAACTAAATTTAATTAAATCATTTGATCTTGAAGGAGTGAGCTTGGAATATGTCCTTAAACATTGGTTGTTGACAGATCCTAGGCAACATGGACACATCCTAGGCAACATGCCACATCATAGGAAACATGGACACATCTCAGGAAACATGGAAACATTCCAGGAAACATGGAAACATCCCAGGAAATTTGGACACACCCTAGGCAACTTAGATAAATACTAGGAAATGAGGAAACATCTTAGGCAACATAGACACATCTAGACAACATTGACACATCCCAGAAAAATGTGTAACATCCCATGAAATTAGGACACACTCTAGGCAACATAGACATCCTAGGCAACATGGACACATTCTAGGCAACGTAGACACACCTTACGCAACATAGACACATCCCAGGAAACATGAACAAATCCTAGACAATATAAAAAAATCTGAGGCATCATATAAACATGTGCAAGGAAACATGGGCACAGTCTAAGCTTTACATTACAAGCTAGCTAATGTCAGCTCCTTTCAGTGCATTAAAATTGACCATAAATATTAAATTGGTGTATACAGAACCACATAATTTTGCAAACGGATGTGTTTAATTTTGTTGGTTTCAAAGTCATTGATTTCAATTTATTTAATGCTCAGTTCGTAATACTTTTGCCTACATATCCTATAGCAAAATAGTTAGAAGTAATTGTTAATAGTTTGTCTTGTGTGCATAACAATAAATAATTCATTTTTTGACCAATCCTTTTTTTCCATTTTACATATTAGTTGCAATTATAGCTGAATGGCTAAAAGGAGAATAATTTTACATAAACTTGAACTTGATTAACAATAAAAACAACAATAGTAATATGCATAATTATTAATAAATCAAAAACTAATAATAATAATAATAATAATGATACTGTACAGTAATAATATATGATTTTTCTTTAATAACAATAACAAAACAATTAAAATTTATGCTGATCAATGTTAAGTTCCTCATTTCAAAGGTTAGAAAATTTACATAAATTGTGTGTATTCTTGTGTATTCTCTGAATACTAATTGATCTAGTTCACATTTTTTGACTGATATGTATACCAAGTAAAGTTAATTATTACCAATAACAGTAACTAAAATTAATATAGATAAACACTGTTAAAAGTAAACGTTCTCGTCAAGCCTCGGTCAACTTATTCCATATTCCATTTTCCTGAAACAATATTTTTAAAAACGGAGTTATTTGTAGATTATCTAGAATTTTTAACTCAGTTATTCTGTTAGATCTGACAATTGATATGTTTTTAAATATTTTGAATATTTTTAAGTATAAAATTAAGAAAAGTCTTGTATAAGTGTTCATGATGTTTTCCGTACGGTGTTTATTGTGTTTTATGTATTCCATTCTGTAAGTGGCGGGCTCCCCGCTGTCGAATGTGAATTAAAATAAAATAAAATAAAATAGAAATTTGAATAAAATACTTTTAATACCTTTCATAATAATAAGATAATGAAAACAATAATTATAAATGTTATAGTAATGGTATTAATAATATTAATGACGATGATGACAATACTAATAACATGATAAGCCTGAATATATATTATTTTCATGAGATCTCAAACTGTTATTGCAAAAATGCATCATTCAATATCCATCAGAATAATCAAAGAAGAGTAGAAAGATTTGACGTTTGGAATCAAAATAGACACACAGTTACAAACAAGTTATTATAACATACTTGAAAAATTTACAAATACATCATTCGTAATCCATGAGAAAATCAGTACAGAGTGAGTTTGGACTCCAAATGGACATTGATGCCTGACAACATCAAGTACATCTAACGTTTGTGATTGAATCTGAAAGCAAGCTGTGATACCTGATGGAGCACTAGCCACAAACAAATGTAACAAAAATGCTTGGAGCATCAACTGAAATCTACAATACATTGATTCTTTATCATTTTTGACAGAAATAAGAAAAGGGAATGTAAATGTAAACGTAGAATATAAATGATCGTTCGTTTGTTAAAAATCCACAAGAGAATTTGGCCCCTGGGGACCCTCAGCAACCATGGGCAGCACCTACTATCAGTACACCGGGAGACAATCCACCTCACTTGTTTGGCCCTGGGGACCCTCAGCAGCAATGGGCAGCACCGACTACCAGTAAACCGGGAGAAAATCCACCTCACTTGTTTGGCCCCTAGGGACCCTCAGCAGCCATGGGCAGCACCGACTATCAGTACACTGGGAGACAATCCACCTCAATTTTCAAATAGTTCTCTTTTTTTTATGTCTATGTGCCCAGCAGCTTAATGCCCCATTCAAAGGATTTGGTACTTTAAGCAAAAAGAAACAGGCAAGTATGATAATGGCTGGTTTAGATTTTGGTCAACCCGTTCGACAACGTCCAATCGGTAACTCAACCTCTCAAAACGATCAACAATGATTCCTCCATATCCCCCACACAGAGCCCAATCACACTTATTTTATCGGCCTGGAGTGGCCTCAACTACGGCCGACACTCCCTTCGCGGTTAGTAGTTTAAGTTGCCTCAGGGTCAACCTGCGAAAGTTCCCACTTCCTCTTTTTGCGTCAGTGTGAAATGATGGTATAAGATGTCAAAATTTACCATTATCATAGTGACAATGGCGACTTAAGTTTGGTTTATGTTCAGAAGATGAGTCCGTCCAGATGCCAAAATGCAACTTTTATTCGGACTAAATTTAGATTGGCTTCGGGCCGGATTAAAATTGATTGTTCACACTTTAAAAAAAATGTGGTCCTGAGCCGACGTAACTATTAAGTGTGATTGGGCTCATACAGAATACATGTTCTTTCCTTTCATATTTTGTTTTTGTTACTTTTTAATTAAAGGTGTATTGTCCCTTGCTAATGTCAAAAAATCATTAAAAAAATAATTTTGAAATAAACTTGCTCATATTGCAATAGCATACAAATTATTAACTTGAAAAAATGTTCTATGTTCAAGTTGATAACTTTTATGTTACTTCAAAATGGGCAAGTTAATTTCACAAAATATTTTCATGTTTTTTTTTAGGTATTTAGCACGGGAAAATACATCTTTAATTACTGTAGGCTCTGTTTGACAAATATGTTTTTATGTGTAAATAGGAAGGTTAGACAATACATCTCAAACATCCTCGATGTAGATACGTAGTATAAATCTAATATGTTATTAATTATCATGCAACTTTTATTCGGACTAAATTCAGATTGGCTTCGGGCCGGATTAAAATTGACAAGTTCACACTTAAAAAAAAGGTGGCCCTGAGCCGATGTAACTATTAAGTGATTGGGCTCATACAGAACACATGTTCTTTCCTTTCATATTTTGTTTTTGTTACTTTTTAATTAAAGGTGTATTGTCCCTTGAAAAAATGTTCTATGTTCAAGTTGATAACTTTTATGTTACTTCAAAATGGGCAAGTTAATTTCACAAAATATTTTCATGATTTTTTTGGTATTTAGCATGGGAAAATACATCTTTAATTACTGTAGACTGTATGACAAAAATGTTTTTATGTGTAAATAGGAAGGTTAGACAATACATTTCAAACATCCTCGATGTAGATACGTAGTATAAATCTAATATGTTATTAATTATCAAGCACTATATAAATTGTCTAGTATAATATTAATAAGACAATCATTACAAAGGTAGAGCATTACAAATTGTGTTGGCAACTTAGCCGTTTGTGGTTTGTAACTAATTAGTTTCTGTTGTTCAGACAAGGTGTATTATATACATATCTACTAATGCAAATCATCATTTCTGAATTCAAAGAAATCTTCACATAGCAATATTATTGACACTCAGTTACTATGAAACCTATCAACAGTCTTCCATGCTTGTTTCCTATGGCAACCAAATCCAAGGCTGCTATTGATTACTAAGATCAGTGAAGATATAAAAATATATAATGTGTAGGCCTAGCAGAGGCCTAATAGTAGATATGAGTATTGAGTAGATGAAAGCCATCATTTCTTTACAAAAAAAAAATCTTTTATTAAATAATGCTTGATTCTCCTCTTTTAAAATATTTTCCTCAGAAAAAACTCATCTATAGTACAGGAAAATAACAAATTAAAATGTTTGCCCCTAAAGTAAAAAGAGTAAATTATTTATTGGTTACCTTCAAGTTGTTGTTGACAATAAAATACAAACAGCTGATCAATGTATTTAGGAAAGAAACATCACCCAACCAATCGATTACAAAAATCTATTAGGGCATTGATATTTTAAACGTAAAAAAAAAAAAAAAAAACCAAAACAGCTGCTTGGTTGAATTAATTAAATTTTGTTTTGAATGTATAGGCCTACTTTTATACAAGCTAAAAGCAGTAGTTTGGAATTGCAGAATATCTCCCGTATTATTACTATGGTATAGAATAATAAAATTGCCCGTGATATGGTTTTGCGAGACCACAGTATACAACTATAATTGGACGTAGTATCATCTGCTTTTTCACGATTAGAAGTACATTGGAAGCAGTTCACAGACATAATTCTCCCATCATGATTTTGTCCTTTACCTAGAATATTATCAAAATAGACAGCTCAGATATTAAAAATTCATCCAACAACATCACAGTATGGAAGAAAAGAAAGGCTCAGTACTTAAAAATTATCCTTTTTTTTGCTTGAATTGATATTCCAGTTTTTGTAGACTCCGGCCTGTAATACTGTATTTTTTTAAACACAAAGATATTGATTTAAGTGGGCACACATCCTTATACAGTATATATTAATTCTATCTAAATTCATATAGTCAATACTCTATTGCAAGTCGAATTGTCTGTGTTTTATCATATATTATGTATATTAACATGTTTTGATTGAAAATCATCATTTTTTTTTGTTGCAATATCATCTTTTTTATTCAGAAATCATTGAACAAAAATAATCATTGATTTTGCTTGAAATCGTTCTTGGTTTTGTTTCAAAATCATAGCTTTGCTTCAAAATCCTCATTGTTTTTGCTTTTAAAAACATTGTATTTGATTAAAAATATCTGTTTGTGGATCTGCCCTCTAGGTAATACCATTTTAAACACAAAAATATTGATTTCATTTTAAGTGTGCTCCCGTTTTATGTACAATTACTGTACTTTCAGAATTATGTCAATAACGGAAGTTGAATTTCTGTGTTTTAAATCTAGGCTATCTAATTTCTCTATAGTATTAAAGCTGTACCTCCAAGGCATCCCCAATGGTGTGACATGCGTGTATGAACTTTTGTAATGTTGAACACGTTGATGAATGGTGTAATTACCTGTTCACAAACTTCCAGGAATTAAAAATTCAACATAACAAGGGAATCATAGTCATTTTTCCCTGTGTAAATAACTGTATCAAACAATTAACATAGTGTATAGTCAGTAGTGGCGTGGCCCCGTGGTGGGATGGTATTCCCCCCCCCCCCTCCGTCAGATGGGCCTGGATCCTGCCATTAATTTTTTAAGAAAATAAAAACTCTTCCCATGAACCCTACCAGGGAATTTTACTCTGGGAACCAAGACTATTCAGCCCCTTGGTTTAGTCCCCCCACCGGACCCCTGTCAGCAAATCTCTGGAGCCACTATTAAGAAGAGTAGTTACTTACAATATGCGCTACAGCCGCTACAACTTGTGCATACAAGGGTCTCGACTCCTGCTCACTCAGTTTACCCTCATTCGAAATTTTGGTGAACAGCTCCCCGCCCGCAGCATACTCCATGACGATATGAAGCTTGGACAACGTCTCTACAACCTCGTAAAGACGTATGATGTTCGGATGGTGTAGTTTCTCCATACTGCTTATCTCTCGTGATAGTAGTCTCTGTGTTTTCTGATCAAGCTTTGTTTTATCTAGAATTTTTATTGCAACTTTTTCTATTAAAAGAAAAAAAAAGTATTTGGTTCAATAAAAAATAATTTACCCAAACAACAACACTAATTAGATTTTTACAATTTTACTGAAACACTTACTGAACATTAAAACCAGCAAAGTGCAGTATGTATTGTAAAAATGCTTTCATTCTATTGTATGAATATTGGATTAGGTTTCTTTTATTCTTACATAATGTCGATGTTGAACTAATAAACTTTAAAGTATAAAAATCAATATTTGAATTGTTGAGAATGAGAAAATATTTTATGAACTATTAATAGTCATAAAGAATACTGTAAATAGATTGCCTGGGTTCTTGAGTTTAGTCTTAAGGCCTGTCCAGACTATCAAATTTGATTTGACAAAAACATGTGACATGCCTAAATATGGTCATGATGACATCACATCATCATCGTATATAGCCACATCAATGACTATATATGGGCATACAAGTTTTTTGTCAAAAAAATTTTGGTAAGCTGAACAGAGTTTAAACTCAGCTAAACACTCAATTGTTTTGATCCGTCTCATTTAATATTTTAAAACACAATTAATTTAAACATTTAAAAACAAAATTATACTTATAATTAAATTAATTTATTTAATCAATTTATTATAATATCACAATAAGTGTACACCTAAACCGAACGTTGTACTCCTACACTTTTGAAATCCCTAGGAGATTGACTTTACCCACCAGAACCTACAAAATTTAGATTAAATGTGAAAAAGAATCTGAAGGCTATCAAATAATGATATTAATTGTCTTTATTAATATAATATTCTTAGTTCCTTTTAAAAGGCTTTTTAACTGCACTATATTAACTTTACACACAAATGTTTCTTAAATTTCTCTAATTTTAAATATACATTAATTGATTTTTAACTTGAATTATTAATATAAAAGACAGATAATGTTAATTGATAACTGTCTATTTTTGTTTTTATTCATACATTATATTATTTGAGACCATTTTCTTAATTTAGACCCAAATTTTGTACTGTTATATGATACTGAATAAAACCAGAATAAATTTTACCTTTGGTTAAGACATGTAGACCCATTTTCACTTGAGAGAAGTTTCCAGTGCCTAGCTCCCCACGGATGCGATAAAAGCCAATTCTCTTCCCAAGGCTGACTTCCTTCTGAATCTTGTCATCCTGGTTCAAATCATTATTTAGTCTCTCATACGGGGTCAAACTAGTCCTTGTGCTGGTTATGCTATTATTCGGCATCTTATTAATTTGCCCTCGGGACACATTTTGGTTGCTGTGAGAATGCTGGCCATTCTTTAACGCGGCATTTTCGTTTGACATGGCTGCCGAATATAAATTGTATAAAAATTAACAGCTGAAGGCGATTACATCTCGTGCTTTCATAGTTTACTGTAGTTTCCGATGACTTAAGCGAAGGATTCAAGATTTGCTAGATCTTGAAGTTGCCCTGTACAATTTCAATGAGGCAGAAGTCTGTTATTGGCCAAGCTTTCTGCAAGAAACGAGAAACAAAAACGAACGTGCTCATTAAAACTTACAAATTTTGACACATTCAATGCCATGAAGCATGAAGCTCTCTGCTCTAATGACTGTCAGACCGCAGCCTAGCTTTTCTTGATACACGGACTCATTAGCTGGTATTACCATTACTCCTCATTCTTGGCTGCAAATTTTCACGTGATATTTAACTGAAGTAGAGCAACTTAAAGGTAGAGCTATAAGCTCTGTCGACACTATCAGGTTTTATGTGACAAATATATAAGATTTGTCTATATATGGATATGATAATATGTTATCACATCTATATATGGGCATGATAATGCCATATCACATCCATATATGGACATGATAATATAATACCTATATTACATCCATATATCATATCCTTAAGCTTTGTCCCCACTATCAAGTTTTATGAGACAAATATATAAGATTTGCCTATATATGGAAATGATAATATCTCATCACATCCATATATGGATATCATGTCATATCACATCCATATATGGCCATGATGAAGTAAAATTACATCCATATATATGATATCTTTAAGCTCTGGCCACACTATCAAGTTTTAGGTGGTAAAAATATAAGATTTGCATATATATGGATATGATGATGTCTTATCACATCCATATATGGACATGATGTCATATCACATCCATATATGGGCATGATGATGTAATATTATATCCATCTATAATATTCTTAGGTTCTGTCCACATTATCAAGTTGAATGTGACAAGATATGCCTATATATGGGCATGATGACATGTTATCACATCCATATGGGCATGATGTCATATCACATTTACATATGGGGATGATGATGCAATATCACATTTATGGGAAATCACATGTATTTTTCACATAAAAATTAAGTATGGACAGAGTCTAAAATACTTTTTGCTTATATATTATTTATAACAGAATGAACGTTACTCTAAATAATACGAGGGAGGCCATACTTCATGGAACTGCAATATTGGTGACCATAAAAAAAAGTAATTTTTTTTTCAATTCCACTTACAGAAAAAAAGACAAATCCATAAATAACAAGCTGTATAAAATATATCCATGAATAATTTTGATTCAAGAAACCAGTATAGTATGCACCTCTGGTATGTAATAATAATAATAATAATAATAATAATAATAATAATAATAATAATTTTTTTAAGCTAGTTTGTGCACCCTGTGCGTCATGTACTTGTACTGGTATTTATTTTTTGTATTTTATATGGACAATGTCTGAAATAAAAGCAAATAAATAAATAATATGTTAGACTTTATGTACTGTACATTCACATGCACATGCACATACTGTACTGCAGAAACTAAAACTGCATAAATTATGGTTATCCAGTAAACAATATATTTACTAGAAGAATTCCTGTGTTGGCTTTCATCATAATGACATACACTGTACTACTATGTTATTCATTTTAATGACAAACTCTAGACCATTAATTTGTCACTATTAATATTTATGTCAAGAATTATTATTAATGGTTTAATAAAACATTCTAAGCAACATTGGCAATATTTTATATAATGGGTTATATCAAGTGACAGATTATTCTTATTATTATTAATAGGTAGGTGTGGATGTAATAAATTTGGCCTTTCATGCATTAGCCACATTAGGCATAAATAATGAAACTCTTGGCTATTTCGCTGAGGATTAACACAAGTGTATCAATTAGAACGATTAAGTCTCTGGCTTTGATGGAGATCGCACTCCAACATTAGAATTGGATTATATCATACTGAACAGGTCTCCCTAATATATTCCCTTTAAAACAGAAAATTGACATCTTTATTTTTAGTTAACTTGAAAAGACTGATTAATTGTTAAAAAAATAAAGAGTGGTGCTGTACTCTGGTGCTTAACCTAGAGAGCTATGCTACAGTACATTCATGTGACACCAGTTGCTTAGCAACCGACTATTGTACCTACAAATGGTGGAAATGGATGTGTGTGTGTGTGTGTGTCCATAGTCAAGCTGTAGTTTACATAGCCTTTTATCTGATGTATCTAAAGCTAATATTTACCGTTAAAACTGTAAAAACTCTGAATGTACAGTATTGGTATCCTGATACATATACATAACAATAATACATTGTCGTCAAATTAATTAGAAACATCAGTTGGAAAAGCAGTGGATAATGAAGCATGGCATTAAATGCGTTCAGCCATATTGACCACTTTATATAGTGTTGCTTAGTAATTAAATGGTGTCACGTGGTGTTACTGTATGTTCTCAGCAAATTAGTACTTTATGCTTTTCTTCCAATCCTGGGGTTCTGGATTCAAATCCTGTGAACCCTTCCAAGATGTGACCCCTCTCCTTCCACGATGAGTTCTTATACAACCTGCAAAGCCACTTTCAAGTCTCACAATGTGCTTATTCAGACTTACGATTTAGGCAATGATCATTATGGCTAATTCAATGAAAACTGTGCCATGAAACACCTCCGAGAACTCAACACGCCGAATTTAGCGATACAACAGCGCTTGCGGGCATAATGTGACCTTTAAAAGTAGAGCACAAACTTGATTCCTCTCGATAGGCCTATATTATAAACAATCAGAATACAATATGTTACTATTGCTAATGCTTTCACTCTTTCCTAAGCTCTTCTTTTAAATAGTCAAAAAGTGAATCAAATTTAATTCAAGAATCAGCATTCCTGGCTGTGGAAGCTCACAGGTGGGTTTTAGTAGTTGAGATAGGCATAGGCTTTGTTAGCTACATACATGACACTTGTGGCCTAACTAAAATACATTACAGCAATAGGTGGGCGATATTCAAAGGTAAGGCTCTCCTGTCCACACTTTCAGATTTTATTGACAAAAAAAAGAGTGGTATGGCCATATTTGGGTGTAATGATATCATCATACCCATATGGACACATCACATAAATTGTCACATAAAATTTAATAGTGTGAACAAAACAAAGAATTTTAGGCCCTCTTTGGTAGCAAAAAGATGACAACAAGCTAGACAAACCCAGGCTTAATTTATTATAACTTATGCAGAGCTCTCCTTTTGTTGGGTGATAATGATGTTCCAGAATGAATGGTTATAAAATCGAAACCCTGGGCTACATTGGAAAATGTGTAAGATTATCGCCTATAAAAATCTTGTATGAACACTGCCCTCGAGACAAGCATAGTACAGTAGCATATCACATATCTTCAACCTATAATTGGTAAGTGTACCTAGGGAGTTATTATAGCATCACTATAGCCATGGAGGTATGTGCTATAACAACTCCCTAGTTTACCCAGGGAGCCATTATAGTGTCAGAAAACTCCCCAGTGTACCTAGAAGCACCATATTTTCTGTTGAATATGAGGGAATTTCAAAATAAATAACTATACAATAGGATAATAAATTCAAACCAGTAAATAACAGATATAATTGTTGATTTATGGATCTTATTAATTCAGTTTTCACCATAGTATTAACAAAAAAATGTAGAATATGTTGTTCTTGAGTGTTAATAACTCTATAGCACAGTATGAAGTTTGTGACTTACATTTTCGAGACACTGACTGGTTTCAATCTATAGGAAAACTCTACAAAAAAAAAACATCAATCAATAATTGATTACCAGACAAAAAAGATCTATGCAGAGAACATCAATAATATTCAGATATTGTTAATTAGCAAGCAACATTACAGTACAAAATTTGTAAGAACTTGTTAACTCGCCTTTTCTTCATTATGTTTCCAGAGAGCAACAAACCGTCCACTAAAATACATAAATTTCCCTACAGACTATAAAAGTTTTCCTTTTTTCCAACAACTAACCATAGGAAACCAACTACTTGAAAACAGTCTTTGTAAAATTGCTTTCTGACTGACTATAGGTATCACACTTGCAATAATACATCAAGATTCGAGAACAAGAACCAAGCAAGATAAATACTTTCTTAATTAACTAATTTCCAATAGGAAGCTACTACTTAAATATTAGATACAGTCCAAATATGAAATTTTATTCTTCAAGTAGTGAAATATGACATATACTGTAGACAGCAAACCTCTCCTATTTAAGATTTTCTTTAGCTTAACGCAGCCAGTATATTCTAATTTCAAGGTAACAGCTGATACTGAAACAATTTGGTCACTGGAAAATGGATGGTTGAGTTTTAATTGTAATAGAACACTATAAAGATTAATTTGGAGAAGATGGCTAGTTATAAAGCATATACATTTTAATTCAAATGGAACAGAATATTAAGAATGCAAGTCATCTGTTTGGATATGTTTCTTGTTTTTAGCACACCGTACTGTACCGGTCTGTAAATAAATCGTTGTGGCCGATGATGTCATCATTTCTCAATTATAAGAATATTTATACTAGCTATTTTTTATTTTATAAGCCATTACTGGAAAAAAAATTAAATAAAAAATTGAGATGTTTATTGAAATATATATTAAAAAAACACTGTAAATTATAATAAAAATAACTACTTATGTTAAATAGAAGTTACATGTTGTAAAAGAAAAAAAAATACCTTGTACTAAATTACTATAAAACACTTATCTTCAATAATGTTTACTTAGGTTAAATTTTGCAAAAAAACTAAATATCAAGTGAATTATTTCTGAATACCTATTAATTACAAATTTAGCTTAATATGTGGCAAAGACAAGCCAAACCAGTCACTCGTCGCAAATCGTGTTTCAGAGAAAATGGCCAAAACATGCTGAAATGTCAAATTTAAAAAAATCTATTCTATTGCATTAAACTAACCTTTATATATCTACACATCATTCTATTATTTTCCCCATTTTCAATGTTAAAACAATACTTTTTAAGGATTTAAAGATAGTTTCTGCATGAGAAATGCCTGAAATCATAAATTTTGACAGTTAATTTCTCATATATTGTTCTTTAAACAGCTGTGTGGTTAAACACTGGTAACTTCATAAGGAAATGTCCGATTTAAATGACTTTTTTTACCATTTAATAGCTATTATTTTACTCTCTAACACTGTATTAATAACTCAAAATTGATTTTTGCGACGAGTGACTGGTTTGGCTTGTCTTTGCCACATATGCTGCCCATAGGCACAAGCTGAAAACTTATGCTGGCTTGTGGTAATCAATTTAAAGATAATTGTAGTTAAATGTCGGTCATTGTAAATATTAAATTGCTTTTGATCTGTGTGACTTTATCAAAAGTGATTTTTTAAAATTTTTTAATGAGCAAATTCATGCTGTTCTGACTTTGGATTACGACAAATATTACACAAGACAGTTTAAAGCCAGGCTCCAGAGGAAATTTAAAAAAAATATATTTTGTACTGATTTTTGTAAGACATAAAAAGCATGTTTGACAAAAACTTGAGAACAGTTAAGATATCGATTTTTGAATAAAAAAGGGGTGTAACAACCATTTTTTTCCCCAGTTTTTAAATATTCAAAAATCCATATTTCATTAACCGTTCATGAGTTTTTCGTCAAATATGCTTTTTTTTTTTTTTTTACATACCAAAAAATGTTTTCCTCCGGAGCATAACTTTAAGGTATAAAATGTCACTTAAAGTGAAATACCATACAATTTATGGTTCGGAGGATCAAACAAAAGCTCTGTTGTTTCAAAAATGTCTGCACTATGCATATCTGCGTAAATAAATAATAAGCAATTAGTAGAGCTCTGCATAGTACACTATAGGAAAATTATTATACGAAGGTTAGATTTAATGCTTGAAAAAATTTCCTGAGGGCCTGCAATGCCCGAAGGAAATTTTTGAATGCATTAAATCTAACCTAAGTATAATAATTTTCCATTTAGTGTACGATGCATGCTCTACTAATGGCTAAGTCAATCGCCGTCTTTTAATTTTAGTTTTTTATAACCAACTGTTGCTATAGTGATATGATCAGTATACGCATGCGTATTTACATTTAGCTGTGTGTATTCTTATTTTTGCTCCTGCAGTACGCGTTTAACTACACATCAGCAGTGCAGTGCGGATACGATGAATAACTATTTGTAATTTGTATTGTGATAGAAAGAACTTGTTTGTAATGCTATTTTGATAGACTTTCGTCAAAGAAATAAACATTTCAGTATTCGAGAGAGAATACAGTCACTGACGTCCTTTTTGGTCGGTGCATGCAGACAGGTAAAATCATGCAATGATTTCATAACTAGGCTAGGCTACGGCCTAGTATTAGGCCTAGTAAGAGGAGGCCTGGGCGGCCTCCTGCCTGGCCGAGGCCTACAGTACATCTAAATTTGTTCCTTGAGTCTTTAAAATAGGTCTAGAATATTCATATTAAACGTTCAGTTTGTTGTGTTTGAGGGTCCATTGATTCAATGAATTCCTTAATTGTTAAATTCTTAATATTAAATTTGAGTAACTTTCTTTGGGTTCTAATTAAGCTTGTTTTACAAAAGTAATTTTCAATTACAATTCAATTTTTATCGCGGTCCGCGATGTCTTTGCGGTGATGACAAAAAAATGAGGAATTTTTTTTTGCACACGAACCTAAAAAAATTCAAGCCAAGCGTCCACTAATTGAAAAATTAGTGGACGGTGGGTAATAGGCAAATAACGTTGCAGTGATGACGTCACAATTGACTTATAATGTCTTTTATAGTTTCCACTTATATATAATATTTATTTATAGGTTGACTTTTACGATGGGCTATAAAAACATTTGTCTCATACAATCGAAAATGTGTTATCCATATATAAGATATATATCAATAAATAACATTTGGTTTTGTCAAAAAGTCTAGTACCGTAATTGTTCTTTACCATCTCGCCTCTGTAGAAGGGACATTACAATAAAGATCTGTGGCAAGTCTCCGATCAAAGAAACTATGAAGCCACATCAGAAACTACTGTATCGGAAAACGGAAAAATCTCTAAATATGTAGTGGGAAGTGATGATGAGGTAATGATGAGAATAATTAGCAGTGTGGATAAGAATTTAGCTTTCTCATTTTCTGAGATAAAGATGGTCTTGATTATAATGGAAGTAAAAGCTGAATCATTGAATGACAGAGATATCTAAAGAGAATGGAGATGAGTTTGACGGTCTGTGGATCACAAGTATATCAACGATAATGATATAACTAAAGTAATGACTCAGTTGAACTACAAACAAACTTAAAAAAACAGAGGAAATACTATAATTACTTTGTATTCAGGGTCATAACTTTTTTCATCATTTACCAGAGTACAAAATATACTCTTTTTTTGTGACTTGTTGCTCTACCCAAAAGAAAATTATGATAGTTTTCATTTTTCGATCTTCTTAGATGATCGAACTTTAGGGTTTCACAGTTCACTATTAAACTTTAAGATATAAAATGTCACCTAAAGTGAAATATTGTAGAATTTATGTTACAGAGGATTAGACAAAAAGCATGTTGTTTTACAAATGTCCCTTCTATGCATCTGTTCAAATAAATAACGTCCTTTATAGTATACACAGTGGATTTCCCAGATTTTATCAGTCTTTAAATGAGAATAAATTATTCGTACAATGACAGAATAGGAAATCCATGCTTTTTTTTCACAATCAACTGTAATGTACGCAAACAAAACTTAGCGGTCACAAAACCCCACTAAAAATCTCTAAAACATTATTTTAACTTGTCAAAATAATGAACCTCCCAATTCATCAAGAGTCATGCCCTAACCAGCAATGCGGCCATGTTTTTGTTGAACTAATTACAGTGATAGAAAATGATATGTAGCGCACTTCTTGGTTTACAGGTTATACTTCGGTTCTTATTGACGATTGATGATCATTTAATGCTAGGGATATCACACTGCTCTGTGTGAGTAGGCAGATGCTTCCAGGTGTACTAGTAAGTACAAAATAATAAAGCTCTCACTAGTTTAGAGAGGAAGATGATATGGAAGGATACAATTCCTTCAATGAGTCCACATAAGAATACTCATCTTGACCTACTTCCTACAAATTATTTGTAATGTAAATATACTTTTTTTTAAAGTTGTACTTTTTAAGTTGTAATTCCTGTAATAGAGCCATTACAACAAAGCTGATCCTGCCCTAGTTTCTGTAGATTATTTGTATTGTAAATATATATTAATCTTAATGTATGTATTCAATATTTTATATTTAAGTTGTACTTCTTATGCTTATTTAATACATACTATACACTTTGTTGTATTTTCTGAACCACTTTGGAAACTAGTATTATTTATAGTTGAAAGTACTCTACAAAGAAAGAATGAATTACAGGGGTCCCAAGTTGGAAAAGTCATTTCTGGGAGATCTGGAGGGGGGTGGGATGGGAGTCCGCCACTGATCTGGTTAATGAGCTTTTTTAACACATTTAATTTTATTTTCCTGCACATAGGGATACACATCGGCACTGACTTCCGTGAGAAAATTGATAATAAAGCAGTGAAAACGTGCAAAATTATGAATTTGCGGAGATGGGTTGATTTCCGGGAGATTCTTGCTTGCTTGCGGGAGTGCAGGAGGCCATCCCGATTTCCGGGAGACTCTCGCGAGTTCCGGTAGACTTGGGACCCCGGTAAATAAATGACAAAGGTTGGTAACATTTACCAGAGGTCC